CCCCAAAACCCCAAAACCCCGCTCTGTTAAAAATGACTGATGTAAGTGTTTGTATATATTTCAGATAAAATTTAAATTATCATTATATTAATAATGGAGAGCATGAACAACTTTACTCAAAATTATGAGAGCTGCACTGAAGACCAAGAGGCAATCAATGAACTAAAAAAGCAGTGCTTGAGATAGTAGATCGAGAAAAACAGTCTGAGATACATCCTCTAAAAGAATCTCAGATTGGAATTGTTTCACATATTCTAAAGCAAGTATAGTGTGATAACATTTGAATACAACTAGGTTAGTCCTTTTTCTTTTAATCAACACTTACAAATAACTGAGTGCTTAATTTTTAATAGGAAATAATAGATGAAGTATTGTCTTTTATCGACATCCTCATTGATGACTTCAATGTCTAGAACATATATCTCAACTATCCAAAGTAAGCATCTCTTTGCATAAACCTCATTCTTCTAGATATCAAATTGATTACAAGAAAATCGAAATTTTAGTGATCAATGACCCAAAGATAGTTAATATTTAGACGATTTCTCTAGCAACTTTACTGCAGTAATTAAATCCATATTTCGAAGAGGAGAAGATGTTTCTAACTTAAGTTACCTAAATACTAAAAAAATTTCTCAATAATTAGCCTTTTAATGATTAAGAAAAATGTATTGTGTCATTAGATAAACCCTTTGGAGGAATAGACATCTATTCACAGGATGAATTTCAAGACATCTTCAACGATCAGCACAATTATGATTCTAATCAAGTTTAGCATTCAAATATTACTGAATCAGTCAAAAGTATTATTGCAGATAGTGTAACTGATTATTCCTTGAATGATGACACGATATCACTAGGGTAAAATCCAGCTATGATTGTAGATGACATTCAGAAGTCAATTCTGAAAGATCAAAAGCAAAAGAAAAAGAAAAATAAGAAAAAAAAGAAGAAGACTGGATTGTAATTAGAAGTTCAAAATCCCAAAAAGCTTATTAACTAAAATTAGTATGAGGGTTAGATAGAGGAAATTCAGCTCAAATCGGATGAGGAGGATTTTATTCCTACAAACTCCTAATCAGGTCAAATCTTATCTGATATATTTATGAAATTGAGCAGTTAAAATCTCAACAATTAGGATGAGAATGTTTCAACTCAGCCCTTTTCGGACAATTTAATACATCTAGAATTAAAAAAAGTTCGTAACTCCCCTATTATAAGCTAGATAATCTTAGAACTCTATCTCTAGTTAATGGAAGCCAAAAATGAAAAAAGTAAAGAAGCATTAGCTAAAGAGGACATTATAACAGAACTAAGATAATAGAAACTTGATAATATATAGTAGAACTAAAGGAATGAGGAACTGTTTGAATAATTGAGCTAGAAGAAAAAGGATCTAAAAAGGATTAAAAAATAAGCTAAAGGGAAGAAAAAGTGTGATTAGCTAGTATAGACAGTAAAGCAGTAATAAAAAAGTGAGATTAGAAGTGTTACAAGTAAAGATATTTAAACAGACTTGATGGGCTTGAGTTTGAATGCATAAGCAGACCAATTCTTAGTTGGTAATAAGTAAAGTTAGATGAATGATTTGAATTAAATAAGCAATAACAGTTAAGGATATATAGATGACATTTTTCTTCTGGATTTTATATATCTAAGATCTCTACAAGAATAAAATTTACACAATAAAGCCAATGTAACATATTTATGATCATCTATTGCTGACCATTCATGAGAATGCTTATTAAGTCTAAAAATTAATCAATCAGCAACTTTAGAAACTAGTAAATGCTTAATAACTTTAAAGCCATAGATTTTATCATAATTTTAATTTATTTAAGCAATAATTAATTTCAATTAATCATGTAGTCGTATTATTGGTCTTACGGGGTTTTGGGGTTTTGGGGTTTTGGGG